AAGAGTATTATTCGGCCTGCGAGCTGGGATTGTGTGGTGTGCCATTGTGTGGAGACGCTGGTGGGATCGGTAGGAGGAATAGAGTGTGGACGTGAGTGATTTTCGCAGGGAAGTGATGAGAATTAGGAGGAATAGAGTGTGGACGTGAGTGATTTTCGCAAGGAAGTGGTGAGAATTAGGAGGGGAGTGTGGAGAGTTCGAAGGAGGAGGAAGCAAACTCTCGTGGGTGGAGAGTCGTATTTGAGAGTGAAATTAAAGTGGGATCTGAGATTGAAGTGAAAAATCTGTGAGTGGGAGCTGAAATCAGAGTGGAAGATTTGAGAATGGGAGCGGCGAGTGAAGTGAAATCTGACAGTCGGGATCTGAATTTGAAACTGAAAAGTGAGAGTTAAATCCGAGAGAGAAATCTGGTGGGACCTGAAGGTGAAAATTGAGAAATCGACACTGAAATCGAAGGTGGGAACTGAGGATGTGAGACTGAAATCTGACACTCGGAATTGTGGGTGGAATCTTATAGGAGGGTGAGATCCCTAAGGGCAAGGGTGTTGAAAGCGTGGAGTTGCTGAGAGTGTAGCCGGAGGGCTGAGCGGAAGAGTGTGTGTGACTGCCAAGAGGATCGCTGGGCTGAGACTGAGTTGATCACTAGGAGGAAGAATCGAGCAAGTGTTGAGAGTAGAATCGTGTTCCCTGGGTGTGAAGGTTGCTGTTAGGAAGGGTGTCACCTTGTGCTCCTGGTTTGTCACTTGACTGTGTCCGAGGCATTGTGTCTAAGATGTGGCACTCATTCTAGGATAAGCCATAGCGGCTGTAGTATTGAGAAAGTCACCCATAGTTGGGTTAGATCTTTATGTGACGAAGAGCTTGTCTGCTGCTCTTGTGAAAATGGCAGACATCAAGTTGTTAGTGACAGTTCGGGACAATTTGTCCATGGCAAAACGAGTATTTATGATCTCATTGTCTTGAATACACTTTGACCACATGGTTTGAGATCAGAGAAGTTAGATTATGGGAGCTCAAACCCCCACCTGGACTACAAACGCTGAAGGGTGGGGAGTTTAGACTCACAAGCTTTTTTTGGTTTCATACATCTAAACATACCCCGATTGTACAATAGACTCATGAATGTTTGCAGTGAATTACTTATGTATCATATTTTCTCGAGGTTGGAAATTAATACTCTAGTATGCCATGATGTTCATCCAAAAATGAAGTTTCTTCTAAATACAAAAGTGAATTTCAAACAGATTGGAGATTGGCCTTTGAGGTATTGGATTTCTTCTATGCATCTAGAAATATCACATCCAGCATCCATTTCACTCATGGTGAATTGATGATATAGTAGATACTCTTAAAAAGAACAAGCAATACTTAGTTGTTGTTTTAGACTAACACATTTACTTTCTAACCATTAATCGCACAAATCGCTCACGTGATGTTCGTAAATAGTCCACTATAATGTAATTATATCTCAAATAACCTCTACAATAATTTTAACTTGCTAAAGATTGTTACATCTTAGGGCTAACATTGCGTTTTGTAACTCTTTATAAATTTGATGTATAACAAATTTATTTCATGTCACCTTTATGATACTCTATTATGACTTATTCTATTCTTATATAGAGATTGATGAACACAAAATGTGTGTTTCATCAAACTAACTTATAAAAATTATCTCTATTATATTATGACCTCATTGAAAATGAAAGCCAAATATGCACATAATGGCAACGATAGATCCATAGTTACCCACAGAAATAGAATCAAACATAATCAACAAACTTAGGAATGCTGTGAAAAAAGGTAGAAAAAAGGTCTTTGACCTGGGCTATTGAAGACTTCAAACACTTGCTATGGGTTCAAGATAATATTACGTCTTTAAATTGAAAGTTTGAAATAAGAAGGGTATCTAACAGTGCCATCAGTTCGATGTAAGTATAGGTCAAATGACTTTATAATTGAATTTTTGAAAGGACTAAGAAAGCATGGAAGCATAATTTGAGAAGTTAAAAGTTGAGTTTGCTAGAAATCTAAAAAAATTTGAGTTGTCAAAAAGTCAATTCCATGAGCTGTTAGATGTGTGCAGAAAATCATTCGATGATCCATTTTGATGATATTTTGAGTTGTCAAGCAATTTTAATTGCTGAGTTATCAATAATGTTTCATTGGATTCTGACACACTTTCACTTGGTTGCAGGACTAAGTCCTCCTATTGGTGACCCAGATTTTGGATGGAGTTAATAGTGTGATGATTGCATTTCTTGGTATTTAAATTGTAAAAAAATGGAATTTTGATACAAATGTTGAAGTTCTTTTCTTTAGAATTTTGAATATGATGATTTAATAAAAAATTTTAATTTCTTAATAATCTTCCTCTAATTTCAATTCCTTGAAATCTAGTTGTAAAATTTTTCAAATCAAAAATATTTGAATGTTAAAAACATATAGTACTACAATTTTATCAAAAGAAATGAAGATAATATTATTTCAATGATTTGTGATGTTGCAAATTATATATATATATAAGTTAAAAAATATATACTCAATGATTTTTGATTTTAAGATGAGTGTTTACATGACGAATTATACAATCCCATTATTATCATTTTTTGCAAATTTTTATTTTTTTCCTTGTATAGCAGTATCTAGAGAGGCATACAAATAATAGTTGAAAATTTTCTGCTGCAAGTTGTAAAATACACTTGACATAGAGATTCACAAAGCTTACGTTTGAATTATTGAGGAGCTTTTAAGAAGCAGTGTAAATATAATGTTGAAAAGCATGCAAATGACATCAATTATTTTTTTATTTATAAAAAAAATTTCATCTGGATTGTCCCAATGAATAATTTCCTAGTAAAAAAAGGTTTTCTTGTTTTTTTGAACAAAATTTTAAGATCAGTAGTTTTATGCTCTTTTGTGCATTTCATAACAAGATTATGAGTGATTTCAACTTGTTTTACTTATATCACATTGCTCTTGAACAAGCTAGTATGTTTTGAAGTTTATAAAAACATCAATTTTCTAGTAAAGGCAGATCTATATGTTTGTTTCTACACAGAAACAAACAACTAGATTTTGCATAAACAACTAATCTATTTTTCAAAAAAAAATTCATGATTTCCATGTATTGAGCTAAATAGTCTAATCAATATGAAATTGAACAGGTTAAAACATAAGATTTCACTAAAGGTAATGTTATAAGGAGAGTATGCATATTTCTTGAGAAATTCATTCTTGTCCATCCTCTATGCACATCCTTTAATTATTTTTATGTGGCTTATAAGATAAGTTATATGACAAATACTGAAAAAATTCCTAACTTCATCTTGTGTTTCAAATATTTTTATAGAAAAAAGTTCTATTGTTATTCAAATGCTAATGATTTATGAAATTCAGTATATGCATTGATTTACATCAATAAATATACAAAATATTCATATATATTTATTATCTTTACAATTTGTCAATATTATTGGCTAGCAAGAACACAAAATTATTATTTTTTAACCTTAGTAAGATTTTTGATCTCATGTTTATAATGAAGCATCTCTATTCCTTCAATATGACTTTTGTTCACACAAGTTTGAAATCAACATAAGAATAGTTTTTTATTTAATCATGTAGAAAATTGAATTCTTCACATTTTTCTATTGTGTAGGGAAATCTTGAAACAAAATGTTAGATTTTTTTAAAAAAATATATAGTGTCAAATTGATTTTGGACATGATGTATTTTCTTTGAAGATATTATTTATTATCCAATAAATATCAATATATCTTACTAAAAACATTATAAAAACCATTTATGGTATTGAATAAAAAAAATATTGTGAAGAGTTATCAATTTAAAAAGATCAATTGAATAATATGTCTAGCGTTCTGATCAAGAAATGTGATGTAAATTGATGTATAAATTGATGAAATCAAAACATAAAAGTACAATTATTTGTTGACTATACTTATATACCTTGAAATAAGATTATTCCGAAGTTTTGAGTTAAAAATATCCATTAAACCGATCAGTTTTGGAAAAAAACAACAGTGATATATAAAAAGTAATTTTAGACATTTTCAGATTCTGAGTTGTTTTTTCAATTAGGAAATCATCACCAAAAAAATTTCTATTTGATAATTTTTGTAAAGTTTTTTTGTTGAAAATATCTCCTTCAAATCTTAACAAAATCCTAATATTTCATTCTTGAGTTTTATATAGTCTAGTGATAGTCTAGAATCTTCAAAAAAAATGAATCTCATATTGAATCCACTTGCATATAAAATATATATTTTTTTTAAAAGAAATGAAATTGCCCATCTTATTTTAAAAAGATCCTATTGAATTTTTACAATTTCAACAGGCAATCAAATTAAAACAAGCATTCACAATCTCGTATAAATCAAAATGACTTAAAGATTTCAAAGCCAAATGTGTACATACATATACTTTTAAAAATTGACTAAAACTTTGAGATGCTGGATATTGTAATTGCAAGTGTTTACGAAATTTTGTTTTTGTTTTCTAAATGAACGTATATTTAAACACGATTAGTTAGCTTTTGAACTTTGACTTAAAGTGACTGATGGGACATTCGATTATACTTGGAAGTAATCAAAATTCCAACAGAGTTGAGGAAATCATGATATTAAAAAAGGAAATAATTTGAATTTGTTTGGTTACAATGGAAAACATATCATCCAAATTTTTGAGATCGATTCATCTCACCCATGATAAACTTCAGTAAATGTAATCAGATGTATTTGAACTTATCTAGAGATATATTATAAGAAGACTCGCACAAATTGACTCACCTCCACTAAATAGCTTCTAACTCCAGCTCGGCAACTTTTAATACCTTACCGCAAATTCTGAACAATAAGGGGAAAAATTGTTTGTAAAGACTAAGTTCTGTTCAGACTAGCAGATGTGAATTTTCCTGACATCACTAGGATAATAAAGCATCTACATTTCTCTCTCCCCGTCCGTCATTATTATACACTAGGATTTATGGAGTCCAACACAGTCCAGTGGTTGCATTCTTACCTCAGATCGGGGCCTTCACAAGGGAAGTATTTTGCGAGCTGACAGAAAATATTACACTTCATGTCAATTGCAACACAAACTTGAGAAGTAGCGTTGGTGTTGAGTCAGAAAAAACAGTCAGGGAGTCAAAGTCTCAAAAAATCAAAAGCTCGCGATTCTTGAGCAAGATAGTAGCGGTCGAAGCAATCGATTGAAATCACAAAAATATAAGTGCATCTCCGCATCGAAGTACAAGGAGAAGTCAAAATTGTTGTTCTTTAGGAAAACATAAACTGTGATGACAGTCTACAGTATTAGAAAATTACGTCCATCTGAGTATCTAAAATATACAACTAACAGGAGTAACTTGCAATAATAAAAATACAATTCTTGCTACAGTATTAGACCATTATAATATCTCGATGTAAAGGAAGTCACAGAAAATTCTTATGAGTCAAAATCATTGCTTCTCCAACCCACGAGCCCCTATGCCATTTACATGGTCCTTTGAGTATTACTTGTAAAAAACTTGCCATCAGAAAACTTTCCATCAAAGACAGAAGTCATCAAAGTCTGGGAAGCAATCGTCAACGACATCCACGTCAAACTCTGGGGGGATATCGTCATCGACATCCATGTCAAACTCTGGGACGTTATCGTCATCAACATCCATATCGTCAAACTCGTCGGCTCCGAACTCGCTGTTCAATGCAAGAAGGTCCTCCGTAGCATTCGAGTCCTGAAGATGAGTATTGGGTTGGCCATTGAATACCAGAATATCTTGAGAAGCGTCCAGGTTTGTTGGAGCCACATTGTCGGAAAGGGACGAAAGCTCTCCAAAAGTGTTCTTGTTGACCCAGTTCTCACTGTAATCTTCCAGTGCGGCCGCACGTTTTTTCAATCCCGTGTTCCATCTGTTCTTGATGCTGTTCTCGGACCTTATGATTGTATACATTTAATACAAGATGAAGAATTAGATGAAAAAATTACTAGAGAACATAACAAAAATTAAATCTTGCAAATATAATTGCACTACCTGCCAGGAATAATCTTTGCGATATCCGCCCATCTGTTGCCAAACCTCTGGTGAGCCCAAAACAACATTATATCTTCGGCTTCACTCCACGGCTCCTTCTTGAGTTGGGGATCAAGATGATTGAACCATCTGTATATCAATAAATTAAATAAATCAGGATAGAGGAAATTCTTGTAAAAATATTAGTACAGTTGGAGAGCATTTGTCATGCATACTTCGAAATTACATAGCTATCCATGCTTTTAAATAGTAAACTTTGAAGAGGTGTTAACACTAATAACACTAGTTATTTAGATAACTAGTGTTATTCAGATAAAACAATCTTTGAAGCTACTGTTTGGACGACAAACTTCTTTGAAAAAACAAAAGTATATGTTACGCACCTCTCTCGACACTGCTTGCCATTTCTGCCTGGCAACGAACTAGCGATGGCAGCCCAACTCTTGGTGCCTAAAGTGTTGACCAATTCGAGCATCTTATCGTCCTCCTGCGAAATTAGCTACTTAAATCAGTCATCACATGGGATCTGGGGTACCTCACTCTTGTAATTTAATACGTGATTGTATAAGGGTCACATAATGTTGAGAGACAGATGAATCAGCCTGCGCAGACGAGCAGGTGGATTGTAATATGCTTCAAGGGCAGGCGCCCTGTTGATGCCCAGAGGATAGAAAACGAGATGAAGGATGTGGCCAGTAAGAAAGGAATGAGGTTCGGAGATTTAGAACTCTTCGAAGATAATGACACCTCCCATGTCAGGACGAGCGAATTTACTCAGCCAACGACTCCAGCGGAAGTGAGGAATGGATTGTTCTTGAGGAGCAGGTGAAGCAATCAGAACCAATCATACGTACTCGTGTTCCCTCGAAGGGGAGGTCGGAGGTGTCGAATGTGGAGGACATGTAAACTTCAGATCAGGATACTTTCACCAGCCACGTTGAACAAGCTATCACAGTGACGCCCAGACGAGAGGAGACCAGCCGCGAGAGAGAATGAGGAGGATTCTGGATGGAGGTGGGTCCTTTTCTGTGAGATGTTTAGGGTTTAGAAAAGGAAGAATCGAGACCTCATTATATAACAGTCACACACCTCTTTGATCCAATATCCTTTAACGTTGGATTGAGAACCTTCTGCCAGCGGTGAAGTCACTGAATATCTGACCGGTTCGGTAAATTCGCAGCTGCATATGCCAATACATATATTACACAGAAGAGTTGTGGCCACAGCTGTTGAGAGTTACAAAAATATTTAACTAATTACCTAACAAATCTCCTACATACTCACCAATTTGTTTCCAATTTTTTCCGTTGAACTTTCGACAGCTGCTCGTAATTCATCGTCCTGTAACAATGAAGTAAACAGTCGCCTTGGGTTCAGAATAATTGTAAAACTCAGTCACTGCAGATATTCACTTCAGAACACATGTGGATGTTCATCAAATGCTACGTTGAATACGAAAGGTTAGAGAACTAGACCCTATTTCAGAATACTACAGATGGTGCAGGGCAAGTCAAATATCGGAGCGAGAAAATATATCCTGTGACTAAGTCTGATAGTGAAAAGAAAAAATAACCTTAAGTTGTACTCGCCAATCTAAGCACAATCTAAGCCAAACTAAGCAATTTATCAACAATATGAACTAAAATCATCACTCATACTTGGAAGAACTCGAGTGTTTCCTCTGAAGGTCGTGTACATGATAGATTCAAAATCGTGACAGACTCCACATTGGGCCTGTCGATTCTTCAAACTTAATTAAGACTGATTCGTCTACATAGAGGCTAAACCAGTATTAGTTATTAACCAATGGTTTGCTCACTTCTTCCGTCGTCCACGGCGTGCTTTGCTTCCGTGGTCGCGGACCATGACAAACTCTCGGTTTCTTCCTGTTACATTCATAGAAGCGACAAGAATATTCGGCTTCAGAGACCATGCGTCAGTTGGATCTACATGGAGACAACTACAAAACGCAGTGTAACTGCGAGCAAAACAAAATGCGCATACTCTTTTTTGTCAAGGGGAGAATCCACGAATGCCGCAGAAGGTAGGTTGGGCTCGCTAGAATTGCTTATGTCTTCGAGGCATCTTCTGAGTGGCAACTTTGGTAGTGTTAAAGATGAGGAGCCCTCCATTTTCTCCAATTCGAACCTGAAACAACTCTGAAGTTTAGTTTAAAGTTGTTAGTTTCACTAAAATGGTAGCATAGAAGCACAAAAATTGATGTAGATGACAACTCGGATGGTGCGAAAATCAAAAGAGAAAACTATCTGATTATATGACCTGCAGTATTGGAGCAGTTTATGATTGAAAATGATTGCGAAGACTCGGCCAGACCCTACAACTATTAATATGGTATTTTCAATTTACCTGTGCTTGGATCTGATGCACAGATCTTAGACGGTCTATGGATGGATCTGGGAGTCAACACATACAGGTGGTTAGATAATTCATTGTCTCCTGTAATGCTATCTAATTCCGAACCAAAAAAAGGCTTCCATGAGGCATAAGTTACGCTTGTCTCATTAATGGATGAAGTATTAATATTGAAAAGACTTGATGCAATGATATGTTACTGATTCTCATGATAATTTCTACAATTTAGTAAATCTCGAAAGGAGAAGAACAAAAATCATCAGCAAATCTGGTTGAATTTCATCATTCACGAACTTGCCACAAAGATTAGGGAAGCTTTTGGAAATGTAATAAATCTTCTCTATCTTGTCAATCTTGTGATAGAAGTCTACCTACTAGATATTGCATCAAGAAAATCCTGTTGTTAGGTCAAACTTACCTCCTAATGACATTGTGGCGAGAACTCTTACGAAATTACGATACAGTTAGATTCCAAGATACATCAAACACACTAAGTCTAAGCTACCAAGGTAATCTTAAACCTAGAGACAAAATTGTCTAACTTCAGGATCTGGTGAAAAATTGTCATCTTCACCCTTACTATTGCATCCGCCAGACGGAAAAATTTCCCATATGGACAACATAAACTTGGTTTCATCTGGAAATAGATGGATAACTGTAACAAATGTAACTTATGCTGATCCCTTTGTAGTGATCAACAAGAGGATTCGGTAAAGATCATAATTTTTATGCATCTCTTGTGCATCCCATGGTCAAATAAGCGTGCAAGATGTGAACAGAAGTGATCCAAGGAAGTGAGATGTTGAACAGCATGATATCACTCTTCTCGCCTCTACCCATTAGTCGGACTATTTGTCATAGTAGACAACTTTGATTGCTCCAGCGATTTTGGAACAGCCAGTAATTTTCAACGATTTTTGCAGAGCGTTACAATGGGCAAATAAAAACTCTATCAACATCAATAAGAGAATTGTTTTTGTGAATTTAATTTGTGTTTTTGATCTAGGGTCTAGGAACTAAGAATATTCCAATGCTACGTATTTTTATCAACAGTAAGGCGGGAATCTCGGCAAATATATTCCATCAAGGAATAAGGGGTATGGAAAGGTTGATTAACTATCCGAAAAATATATGAGAGGCTTCATGGTCGTCTTACTTCGTGTAGAATGGTGTCGGAGTAAGATATGACAAGAAGCCTACCGTCTGGAATCATGTGAGATAAGAGAAGAAACACACTAACCAATTTAATTAAGGTGAGAGAATCAGAATTGCTATGGGTCTATCTTCATTTTAAACAGAATATAGTTCTCAGTAACCAGAAAATCTTTGTGGTTATGCTAGCATGTTAATATATTTTTTTATCAATATATAGCGTATGAAAAGTAAACTTACTACACATAGGAAACATGAATTATCTTAAAAATGAGCACCAAATGGCGTGAAATGTAAAACTTGGTGGTCTGAACCATATTTCTGTCTATCATCAACTAGAAATTATCTTGCTTGAACTTCCTCGGAAGGAAGTTTGTTGATAAGAAAACTAAAAATGTGATAACAGACAAAAGACAATAAATAAGAAAATACAGTGAAATACCGGAGTATGAACCACTTTAAACACCCATAGAGAAAAATGTCGAAATGAAGATCAATTGGACTTGTACATTCATCTCTGGTTCAGAAAAGACATAAACTCCTTTCACTAAAACAAACCTTTTTATTAATATGCAGGACCATGATCAAACATCAAATCCTAAAATCACATAAAACTCAGGTTACTGAAGGATATTACAAGTCAGAAAATTTGTCTCCTGCTTAGCGGCACCGTTATATTTATGAGCCGTCAAATGTACAATCCTTGATCATAACACATATAAGTGGTGTCCAAACAGTCTGATACAGGTCTGTTTGAATAGGTTGAACTCTTATTTTCAATGTTTCCTTCAGGTGTTGAAAAGGCTGTAGAAGACCCCATAAACTTATTCATATACGATCTAGCTAAACACCAACAAATGGATACTTGCTTCAAGTAAAAAAAATCTCTTAGAGGGTTCTAAGTACAAGTGCCCATATATAATTACAAGATACTAAGTATCAAGCAGAAGAATAAATTCATGCGATGCATTGCAAAATACATCCAAAAAAGTGGTATCTACATGATGAAATTAGTACATTTTTTTTGGGAAAAGACACGTTTCATTGAGGCTTCCTTGGTATAGGCTTGTCTAGGAGAGCAACAAGGTTGAAAATATGTAAAGATTGACTTGATCTTTCCTGATGGGGATCTTCCTTAAGAACCACATCTGTTAGCTTATTTTGAAAATAGTTACCTTCAAATAGTTAGATCTGGTGACAATGGATTACTTATCAGCACTACATGTGTATAAATTTGATATTATTATCTACATGAAATATTAATTCGCATGTAACGAGCGATGATGTGAGCTTTCTGAAACAAAGGGGTTACTGCTTTCTTAGAAACCGAATGCTAGAACACCTCACAAGGTTATATTCCAACATTTTGGAGACATAAACATACATACATTACATTAACAAAACGTACATTACAAAAATCATGACTAACGTCATCACATTGAATGATCCCTGAAAAAATTGTTTGAGTTGGATACGTACCTTTCTTGTATGGGTATAGTGTATAGAATGGTCAAACTTACGAAGTTTCTTATGTTTGAAATACATTGTTTCATCATGTTTGTGATTCAGTTTGGAGAATAGATTTCAGATATGTACTTTTTTTTTATATCTGACTTCATATTCTCCATGGAGTAAAAGATTTTGAATAGTTTCCTATGAAATTGCTATGTCAAGGAGGTAAACTATGTAAGAAAAATTCCTAAGATAGACATCTTTTACCCCTTGAAGAGAATACGGAGATCTTAAGAGGTCTTCTAACTCAATTTGGCAATACAAAGCAACAAATAGGTTTATGAGGTGGCATGAATATTGTAGATTACTTGAAATTGGTTGAAATTAGCTAGAAGCCGCGAATGATCGAACGAATCACATTATTTGTGTTGATTCAATGTCAAAGGCAAGATGAAGAGTCACAGCAAATACTAATATGTACCTGCACAAATGTAATCAAATTTTTGATAGTTTCTAAGTTTCAAACACAACCATGACAATACTTACAAGTACTTTTACAAATCTGATCAATTACTTTTAATAGCCTTTAGGTTTTAAGTACAACCATGGCAATACGTACGAGTACTTTCATAGATTTATTCAATTTTTTATAGTTTGTAAGTTTCAATCACAATCATGCCAATACTTACAAATACTTTCAGACATATGATAGGAGCTTTTTGATAGTTTCTAAGTTTCAAGCACAACCAAGGCCATACACAAGACACAAAGTTCTTACATAAACCACAATATATGCATTTGAAAATTGCAATGCTTTAATCTCACCATGGCAAGAGAAAGGGAACGCAGTGAAATGCACAGATAAAAAAATACCTTTTGAAATCCTTGGATCAACCTAAACATCAAACTTTCTTGTTGAAGTAATACATTAGTCTAGAACGGAGTTCAGTGAAATTTGTCATTTGGCAAATAAGCTCACGAGAAAATTGTTATTCATACTAACACTCGTCACGAACTTTATGTCTGGTTATTTAGCGTCGAAGGTTCAATGACAATGAATTGACATCAACTATGTTAGTAGTGGAGTTTCACATAACATGAATCCGATTAGAAAGTTAGCGAGTGAAAGCAGCGAGAATTTCTTCTTTCTTACTACTGTGATGGTGAAAGTTGCGCAAACCTGAGCTAGTTCACACCTCTCTGAACTCTCAGAGCTCAACAGCAGACAATAGCAGACAATGCACGGCAAGAAAGTACTATGCGATCGATCGCCAAGGAATCACGTATGTCACAAGCATATATACTGAAACTCCAATCTGTGATCACTATTGTCTCTTCAGAAGCTAACACTCAGCTGAACACACTGAACTGAACGATAGGTAAGACTGAGTACTTATCTGTTACAAGTTGTCACGTCTGAACGTCAAACAAAAATTTGAAATCTCCAACGTAACCTCCCATCCGACTCAGCCCGGCTCGGAGAGAAGTCTGATAATTTTTAGACGTCGGAAACTTCGAGGATCTAAGTTTTCAAACTTATCTGCACATTGGTAAGAAAGCTCACATTCAACTGAATACACTGAATTGAACGATATGTAAGACTGAAAACACTGAACTGAAGGATATGTAAGACTGAGTACTTCTCTGTTCCAAGTTGTAACTTCTCAACTTCAAACAAAGATTTGAAATCTCCGAAGTAACCTCCCATCCGACTGCTGCCTCGCGCGGAGAGTAGGATCATCATTGAATCCGTCGGAAGCTTCGAGGATCTTAGCAAATCCTCACGTCGATATCGTTTACCGTGGGAGTTGCAAGTTTGAGATTCTTTTATTGTATTGTAGAATGAAGTTTCGGATGATGTAGCTACGAATGTCTTCGATACTGAGGAAAACTTCGTAACCTCAACGTTTCAGGAGACTATTCGCTCTATTTACCTGTGTGGGTCTATGTACCTTAGAGCCTTTTCAAATACGCAAATCAAGTGTCATCGTGAAATGAATAAAACACTTCACATACCTCGTATCTGGTTGAGATGTTTCAATTAAATCTAATCATTACCGATAACACGTTCTTGAGACTGAGAGTCCAATAAGGCCAGACCTCGTTTACTCTTTCATGATGCTTGTCATCATGAAATTGAGCGAGGAGAAAAGTACAGACCCGGGGAATCATCATGCTAGATTTAGCACAACCAGAAGTAAAGTATAATACGATCACAAGTTGTCTTATTCGATAATTAGATAATCTTTGTGAAAAATTCAAATTAAAAATAATCTGTGGGTTCATATGAGCACGACGATATATGTAATGAAAGATGGTAGATATCGTTTGATGAAAGTTAGAATTTGAATGTAAGTAATGCCACACAACACATCCTACTGTTTTGCACTTCTTGATAGAATATAAAATCTCGATGTTAAGATTTAAAATGAAAGATTCTTAGATACTAGCATGGTGTAGGCAGAGTATAGCTTTATTCTTATTCATGTTATATTACTATAACACACTTCCAATTTAGAATGATTACTATGAAGGTCTAACTAAGGAATTACAACTAAATACTGCTCATTCAACAAGGTATCGTTAATGACTTCACGTTTAGCCCTCAGTCATCGGAAACCTTACTATCTTCTAATATGGTAAATGGTAATAGATCAAGCCCGGGAACCCAAAGGGTCAAAAGGCTTAAGAGATCCCAAAGATCAATCCTTGGCTTTTGCCAAGACCACGAGAACGGTAATTAATTATAAACCTAATATAACAACCTAAATAAAAAAAACTAACTCTAAAAAAAAATAAAAATTCTCCACATCTACAGAAAAGGTCCCATCTGACATGGTTTGCTTCAGCCTAATCTCTTCGTAACTAAGACAAGTAACAATTACATGCTCTTCATCTTCAATATAGCCATCGTCACATAACCTACAAATACCTTCACTTTTATCAGTATTAAACCAATCTCATTCCTCAATTCCAAGCCTTTGAGATCCAGTTCTATGCATAGCGATAATATAACGTAAGGACATAGAAATTCTTGCAATTAGTTAATATGGGCGGTTAGATTCCCTAAACTAATACTTTCATATGAGAATTTTTTTTATCATTTTCATAATCGATGAAGTATAAATATAAATTACGGCTGATGTCAGAGATTGTACAAAGTTGTGTATTACACAAGGTATCATTTTTTCACATTTTAATCAAGTCTAGTCCAAACCTCATTGACTTCAGATTGTGATCATTTAGATCCCTAAACTAGAACTCTTATAATATACAATTTATTATCATATTCATATTGGGTGATAGTTTATCAATATACAATATGTCAAATGTCAAGGTTTAACTAAAAACACATAGACATTGTACAGCACTGCATATTCAACAAGGGATCATCCATTGTTTCAGATTGTGATCATAACTCGTCGAGTCTTTGTTAAATTTTAATAGTGGTGAGTTACAAAACCTAAACTAGAACTCTCGTTTAAAACAACTCTACCATCAAACTCATCAAATATAATATATTATCAAAAAAGAAGATGTGAGACATCAATGTGTAACTAAGAATCTGTAGATATTGTAAATGCTACATACTCAACAAAGCATTATTCAGTCTCTCACATTTTAGTCATAACTCGTTAGTAACCTCATAAATTGCTTTCAGTGGTCAATTAGTTCCCCTAAACTGGAAATCTCATGCGAAACAATTGTTTAATCTTAACACTAATTAATAATGTAAAATTTTGGGCTGGTTGAGTTCAATCAGAGAGAGAATAAGTACATTAGGGATGAGTATTTTGGACTTACTTTTAGAACTAACTAGATGGAATTAGTTGAGCAATCAACAAACTTACTTTTTAGTGGAACTACTTTTTGATATGTTTCAGTTCATGTATATTTATTTAGAAAAACAGCATCTAAACTTTTACTCCATGCTCTTCTGACGTATTTCTCGATGCGACTAAGATGACCATAAATTCAGTGGCTAGATTATCGAATGTTGGAGTGAGCTGGTATTGAAAGTACAACTAAATCTGACTTTATTCATAGAAGATCGTGTGAAAAAGTTATACACTAATACAAGAAACATAAAGAACTGATCTCAGTAATTGATATTCAGAAATTTTTATGATATCTTATCTTATGAAATTTTTCATTCCAAAATACTTGTGTGGATAAATTCAAATATGAATGTATTAGTGTAATCAGATAATACCATCCATCCTTCTTACCTCAAAAAAATTAATAGAAGAGAGCTCAGGTTTTATTTTTCCATCAAACAAAACGTATTTGTGTCATTGCAAGAGATCCATAATCGACTTCATTTTTCTCCTCAATTACATAGGTTTGTGAAACCTATTACTCTCTGCCTGTAATAACCCACCAAAGGCTAAAACTGCAGTATGGTGGTAAAAAGATCGAACCCACAGGGACAGAGGCAACACACAGAGTAAAAGTGTCACGTTTTAACAGATTTTTGTAGAGTTTGAATTCTAGGCGACTGTCACTCCCAGAAATACTGCAGTGCTCGACTCGGAGGCTCGACTCGGAGGAGGATCTCGACTCGGAGGATGCTCGGAGGATGCACGATACAGCGTGGTCACTCAACACACACACACACACACCTGAAACTGGCAAAAAGCACAACTCGGAGGTCGGTCAGGACCTCCGCTTCGGATTTCAGGAGGAAAGTGTCTCACAAGTTCACTCAGAGGTTCTGCAGGTAGTGCCTCCCACTCCGGCTTTTACTGCCCTTCCGCCAGGAACTAGCGGGGGTACCCGGACTGGACTTCCCACTTCGGAACGAAGCCTCTACATACGCCGTGGACGTCACCCTCGACTATCACACCAAACGCAGGGAGTGCAGACCCGACTGAGAACTTACTGAAAACACGATCCAGTAACACACACACAACCTGAATTACAAACCAAGGTTTACACGAAGTAATAAAACTTCACATTGGCATTCAGGGGAAACTTCCCGTAGGAGTACAATCAGGATATGTCACTCGAAGGAGTAAGGGGGAACTCTTCAAGTATCTAACTCGCAGCCGGCTCTGAGCATTAGAAATCACCCGCAGGTGCAGATCCGCACTACTCAAGTCTCTAACCGGGTACTAGCTTTGAACATTCAGCCGAAGGCCTTCAACTACAACATACGGTAACTTCGCTATGCTGCAGCTTCTCTACGTGGTGCCAGGACCAAAATGCACAAACACGCCAAGAAAGTGAGTTCCTGATCTGCACTTCCGAAACTGGAAGTGTAATAACCCACTAAAGGCTAAAACTGCAATATAGTGGTAGAAAGGTCGAACCCACAGGGACAGAGGAACACACAGGGTACAAAGTGTCACGTTTTAACAGACTATTGAGGAGTTTGAATTCTCAGGCAACTGTCACTCCCAGAAATACTGCAAGTGTCCACTCGGAGCGCACTCGGAGGTCGCACAGTGCAGCGTAACACACACACACACACACACCTGAAACTACAGAAACACAACCCAGAGATCCGTTAGGACCTCTTCTCAAGATTTCAGGGGGGAAGTCTCTCGCGAGCACACTCGGCAAAGCTGCGGGCAGTGACTTCCAACTCCGGCTTTTACAACACTCCCACTAGCTTGCTGCTAGTGTAGGAAACCCGGTTTGGACTGCCTACTTCGGATCAAAGTCACTCCTACGCGGTGAACAACACTCTCAACTCACAAAACGCGCAGAGAACACAGGTCCGCACTGAAGGACTCACTGAGAAACATTCCAGTAACACAACAACAGTCTATTGAAGAGTTTGAATTCTCAGGCACTTGTCATTCCCAGAAATACTACAGGGGTTACCCTCAAGGCACCTGCTGCAGCGTAACCTGAATCTACAACCAAGGCTTACACGAAGTAACAAAACTTCACTTTGGCATTCAGGGGAAAAATCCCAAAGGAGTACAATCAGAAAGAAACACTCGAAGGTGTAGGGGCGAAACTGTTCAAGTATCTAACTAGTCACTGGCTCTGAGCATCGGCAGTCACCCGCAGGTGCAGTTCCGAACTACTCAAGTCTCTAACCAATGTACTAGCTCTGAACATTCGGCCGAAGGCCTTCAGCTACAAAATGCGGAACGCTAAGTTGTAACTCCTCGTGCGTGGTGACAGAACTCAAGGACACAAACACGCAAAGGAAATGGGTTCCTGATCTGCACTTCTGATGGGAAAGAACCCCAGGCAAAACGCCTGGAACTATTTTATACCTTCTAAGTCCTACCTAACACTACACTGCACTACGCTACACGCCTGCACGGAACCACGCTACACTACACTCCGCGGAACCTGTACTACGTCTCCTGCGCGGCCGACTGCCGCGCACTAACTCCCTACCCTGCCAATCTTCCGCTCGACTGCGCAGTCCCAACCGCTGCAACGCCGCG